TATTAAAAACTTTAGGAGTCAGCTGTCCACGGTAGTCCTTAAGATATCAGCACAATAACACACTTAGCAAAATATCGTCTAATTATCTTTATCAATAAAATCCCAGAAAATATTGAGACAATAATAATTAGTTCAAATAAAGTATCAAAAGCAAGAAATCATATGGTTTTATTGAACAAAACCATTAAAATACATAATGTATTACAAACAATAGAGCTAATGTATATTACGCATTACAACAAAGGCCTGCAGAGGGCGCCAACGGCCTGATGATTATTTTTACACATTGCGGTGCGATCTAATACTCGTTTAATATTGACCAAGCACCATTTAACTTAAATGTCCACTTAATCTTTAATATTTGGCCATTTCTTTGACAGATATGTTATAGCCACTGTAATTAAAAGAATATGTGGACATCAAAATGTGTAAACAGAGTGATGGTTTGAGCTTTTATTTTGAAACCGCGATGTATTTACCTTACAAATCTGATGAAATGGCACATGTTGCGTTCCCAGATAAACGTTATTGTCATGCTACGTGCAAACAGATGACTTTGGATACAAATACACTAGCAACAGTCCTCCTCTGCCCTTTCATTCGGCAACATTTCATTCATACCCCCATGACAAACTCGGAGGTACTGGATGAGAGTGTGAAGTAAGGACTGGTGGGAGAAAGTTGTTTGAATTTTTTGTTTGTCATCAAACGGTTGACCACTGCCGTGTGTTCATCCTGTCGCAAAATGTGGCAAAAAAGTCCTACACAACGTTAATAGTGTGATTAAGGTGTACCAAAAAAATTAATAAATTGGATACTCCACATCTTGATTCGATTTGGGTTTACTTCGAGTATGATTTTAGCCAGACTAGTAAACACTAATGAATTAAGACATATGGAGTATTCCACGAATTAAGACGTGGAATATTCCTATTTTAGTCTAGGGCTGCCACTAACGACAATTTTTATTTTGATTAATCTACCGACTAATTTATCGATTAATCTAAACAATTAATTTCCCCCACAAAAAAAATCTACAATTTTACTTTATTTTATTAAACCAAATGAAATCAAAATGTCTATGAAATCCTTTTTTTTAAAACAAAAGTGCAACAGAGTGCAAGCAGCAAGTGTCCATCTCATAGTCCAAATCACTGAAATCAAAGTTCAGTATTATAGTGTAAGAATGACAACAAATCCACGTGTTCTAGTCTACTAATAATACAATAATCAAAAAACTTTTTAAAGGAGTATTTACTAGAAATGTTATTTACCAGAATTTATTTAAGAGAAAAATATAATTGTGCAGTATTTCTGAAAAATAGATTTTTTTTTTTTTTTATAAAATCAATTAATTGGAGATGCTTTTTATTATTAAAATTTAATGGAACCATTCAAATGGAATCCAGAAAATAATGCAAAACAGAATTTGGTAAAGATAAAACTGTAAAACTCGATTAATTAGACAGGCTTTTGAGTAATACAATTTAATTTAACCATTAAAACAGAGTATAGACAAATTTGGAAATAAAACTGGATTTCATAGTGCCCTATAATTATAATAATTTTTTTTGTGGTAATAAAAATAGATGTAAGTGAACAATAGCCTTTAAAATTACTTAAATTCCATATATAATAGCAATGAGGCAATAATAATTAGTTCAAATAAAGTATCAAAAGCAAGAAATCATATGGTTTTATTGAACAAAACCATTAAAATACATAATGTATTACAAACAATAGAGCTAATGTATATTACGCATTACAACAAAGGCCTGCAGAGGGCGCCAACGGCCTGATGATTATTTTTACACATTGCGGTGCGATCTAATACTCGTTTAATATTGACCAAGCACCATTTAACTTAAATGTCCACTTAATCTTTAATATTTGGCCATTTCTTTGACAGATATGTTATAGCCACTGTAATTAAAAGAATATGTGGACATCAAAATGTGTAAACGGAGTGAGGGTTTGAGCTTTTATTTTGAAACCGCGATGTATTTACCTTACAAATCTGATGAAATGGCACATGTTGCGTTCCCAGATAAACGTTATAATAAACCCAAACTCACAACAACATTCAGAGATGGAGTTTGAGACGCTCCACACATGTAAATGATAAGTTCCTGTGGAGCTAATGTGAAAGGAGCCGCTGTGTGATGCACGTACTTAACCTACACGCATGTAAATAATTAAAGCGCATATACTGTATTAGAACGGCATCGCATATAATTATTTAATTAAACCGTAGCGTTTGTGAATTCACAATTATGATGTTTAAATGGGTTTATATAAATATATCATGCAGCCTTGGGAAACAGTCTAATGTGTTTTATGGATTCTCGTCCGTGAAATGCGCCACTTCTGGTATTTTGCCGGTTAGTCGACGCGAGCAAATAATTATTTAATTAAACCGTAGCGTTTGTGAATTCACAATTATGATGTTTAAATGGGTTTATATAAATATATCATGCAGCCTTGGGAAACAGTCTAATGTGTTTTATGGATTCTCGTCCGTGAAATGCGCCACTTCTGGTATTTTGCCGGTTAGTCGACGCGAGCAAAATGAAGTCGAGGATTTTTAAAAATCGAATAGTCGAATAAAATCTACGAAATCGCGACAGCCCTATTTTAGTCCCATTACTGAAGTGCAGTAAAGACATGTATACACCTTAATCACATTATTACCGTCATGTAGGACTTTTCGCCACATTCTGAGACAGGATACATACATGGTAGTGGTCAACCGTTTGACGGCAAACAAAAGAATGTATAGCATGACAAAATAATTAACTACACTTGAAGCTTTCAGTAAATTAAAAATGAAACACCCAAAACTGTATATGGCATCATAACGAAGATGAACTATATGTTTATACGTGAAATTCTGGAGGGGATGTCAATGAGTAATAACACCCAAGTTCAGTTTGTACTAGAGGCTTATGATACAGCTGATACACATGTTACAAGTGCAAGTGGTTTGAGAGGAACTGACTTTGGCTGAGAGTTGTGCAGACAGGGGAGCAGAGGGAATTGTGTGGAGAGCATCCCGAGGGATGACGGTCACTGTTTGTTGGAAAACCACTTCAGACACGGGAGACTGTGGCCTCTTTAACACTGCAAAAAAAAGGGCTAATATTAACTTCATTTTCACTGTACTACACAACGCAGAAACTTGATACATGTAATTTGTAATCCATTTAATTAATTTAAATGGCCTGAATACCTGCGGTTGCCTTCCTTCCTCCTTTCACAGGAGCTTTAGTTGTCAGTACAGAGATCTCAAACTCATCTTGAGGCATCTTTGCCACCTTCTCCAAAAAAAGCTTCTCAAGGTCTTGAGCCATCAGAACAATGTCATCTCCTGGCTGAAACCACACACACACAAAAATTGAAGCCAAATGCTGCATATCAAATCTTCAATTCTTAGCAACATTACACAAAACAACAGCAGAGTCCTCACCCGATTGTACACGTAACAGTTTGTGAACATGTTGTTGAAGTCTTCTATACACTCCATTGCCTTCCAGTAGTAATTGTTTTCAAGACGCTTTTTAATGGTGCTCAAGTCCATAGGGTTCTTGATGATTGCATAATAATCCTAAATTAAGTGGAAATATTGAAAATCACCAATAACCTTGAGCAAGCACAAAGATTAAAGGTTTGTACCTACAAACGGTGTAATCAGTAAAATAGCTTTAAATGACAGAGCACGCTGAGACTTACTGGCAAATGGAGTCGGACTGCATCCACAGGCTGTCTGAAAGGCCAGGAGAATTGATGTCTCCACAGGGACTTAATCACCACTTTTTCTAGATACTGCAACTGATTGGTGAGGTGCCCAGGCTTTTTGGGGTTCTTGAACTGGGGGGGAGGGGGATTCCCATTCTGTGGGGGTTTCACATCAGACATCGTCTGAGCCATTCCAGGAAGTGGTGACCAGTATGGAAAGGGCTTTTGCAACTAAACTTTGGCAGCTCAGTGAGCATTACACACCCACTGTCTGTGCCACTGTAAACAGGGAGAGCAGGGTCAACATCCTCATGCCATTCTGCACTGGCGTTTATTCTTTTTAGGCAAATCAGAAAAAGCAGCAGATTTGAGCACACGCAGTCCTTCTATGACAAGTGTAAATGCAAGTGTAATAGCTTTTTAGAAATACACACATGCTGTGTAAATTTCTAGTTAATGACATGCTGCACTGTAGTCCTCAGGACTACTGCAGGTTTCACGCGGTATGCACTGCCCTCTACTGCCTAATAAATGATCACTACAACGCTTTTCAGCTTCACTCCCAACAAAAGGCATCTTTTTAAGTTGAAAATTCAGTATCTGAAATAACTCACCCAAGATAACCTTCAAAAAATAAATACAAAAATTAACAGATATGTGGAAGGAAACTTGTCGGCTAAAAAGTCTGAATATGCTGGCCTTTCTTTTCTTCTAAAAACAAACTGATAGCATAATAGACTGAGAACTTGTCCAGCACATTAAAACTAGACCATTGCTGTTTAGATGAAAACTGCCAATGTGACATTTTTCAGACTAATCTAAAATGAACTTAAAATAAAACACAAAAAGCAGAAACTGATATTACTTCGTTTCTACCAACCATTTGTTTCAAGGCAAAACTTTAAATGTATCCCTAATTTATATGCACAACACTTACCCATTTAAACTGAGGGTTCTAGATTCAAGGTACTCATTAGATCAATAAAAGCGAACACTCTTACTTTCGAAATCTGGACAGTGAAATCATGCTCAAGAAGTCACAGAACTCCTTTAAACGGTCTCTGAAGCTCTCAAGCTTTATTTAGCTCAGCTAACTTACAGAGGTTATCCTCCTCCATCACACTTACCCCAAACTAAAAGGTCATCGTCCTGCTCAGTAAAATAGTATTTTTGTCATACAAAAAACATTAACAAATTATATTGATCATTATGTGTACTTTATTTAAATAAAAAAGAAAAATAAATCACTGTACAAGAATCCTATGAACTTACAAAATTTATTTACACAAGAAAAACAATTTAAAATGGTCTTTTTTTTGGTAAGCTATATAAAACACTTAGTTTCACACTGGTTTGCTTCTGATTGGGAAGGGAATCTTTTTGTTTTTGGAGGGGAGAAGGGAATGTTGTCCATCATCGATAAAGTCCACTTTAACGATGAAGATTCATGTAAAAAAGAAAAATAAATCACTGTACAAGAATCCTATGAACTTACAAAATTTATTTACACAAGAAAAACAATTTAAAAAAATAAGTTAAAATGGTCTTTTTTTGGTAAGCTATATAAAACACTTAGTTTCACACTGGTTTGCTTCTGATTGGGAAGGGAATCTTTTTGTTTTTGGAGGGGAGAAGGGAATGTTGTCCATCATCGATAAAGTCCACTTTAACGATGAAGATTCATGTTTTTTTTTTTACACCTAAGTTACAAGTTTAACATGTTCACAATTTGTTTATACAAACGTATCGACGTTGTGACAATTTATTCTCGTTTGTTGTGGACAAACACGTGCCAATTTGTCAAATTACAGACTGCACATAAGAAGAATGACATTCACCTAACGTTACTCGGAACAAAAAGAAGCTTTGTAGGTCAACAAAACAGACGAGCAATTTAATGTTGAACTAGAAAAAGCTCCCTATACTTAAGGGGTGCAATATATACACACCATCCGTTGCGTTTATATGCGAGATCTATTTGTTCCTTCACACAATCCAGGGCCACGCGTTATCCCGACGACCGCTTATGGATGACGCAACACTAACTTCCGGCTCAATATTACCGCCACCTGAAGTGTCGCCTTTGCTTAAATAATCAGTTTTAGGGACAAGCGTTAGCTTATACAAGCATAAAACACACTACGGATAATTAGAGACTGGTTTACATGAATAATCGTGTTAGCAAGCCTCGAGACACAAAATGGCGCCGGCTAGCTTTAGCACAGCTAGCCACACATTACCCCGCCCCGTCAGATGCTGACATTGAGCTCAGTTAACAGTCCCTCCCCTAACCATTCCGCCAGCTAAATGAAGCTAGCTCAACCTGGATCCAAAATGTTACCTTTCCGTCTCGGGAACGACAAAGAAAGTTTAAACTGCCGAACTGAGACAGACGATGCAGCGCAGGATGAGCTCTGCTGGAAAACTTCACCAACCGAAGGATCTTGTTGATGCTTTGCGCCCGAAAACCCCTCTTTGAAAACGACTTGAAGATTTTTGAGCTTAGTTTTAAACGCCAACAGAACAAATTAACATCATATACGTGTGAAATAACGCTGTTTCTTTGAAAGGTTAGTCATCAATGGCGGATGTTTCTCACGGCAACCGCCTGGTATTTATACCCTCCTGCTGAAAGCGCCCAATCCCATTGGACAAGACCCCTCACGTGCTCCCTTCTTCCCCCTCGCTGCTTTAATAACGAGAAAATATTCCTTTAAAACGTATAGCATCGAAATCTCCCTCTATTTTATACCCTAAACGACTCCGAAACGCTGTTTTACAATTCAACCTGTTTATTTTTTTTGCGACGGCGAACGAACTCCTATAAGAAACAGACACGTACGTCAAGAGTATTTTTTTTAAAAGTGCGACATTACTGGTCTCCGGACATCACATGACCGTTCTAGAACATTCTGTCCATCGCTATAGCTCAATTGCCCTCTTTAGTGTCTGTTAAATTATTACATCGTGGCTCTTTTCCGTGGCTTTGGTTGTCAGCTTCTGGCGAGTGTTGGACATCGGTCATCCCTGCAGCTTGAAAAATCTCACCAAGAGAACTATGATATGATAGAGCACTGAGCAATGCTGAAGGGAGGCGAACGCAAACTAATGCGCATGCGCACTTTCTTGACAGGGATTGGCTTCTCAGTTGACGCCGTGCTCATCTTTTGTGTAAACGCCGTACAACCTTCATTAAACCTCTTCAAGCAAGCTTCATCAGTGTTAAACACAACCCAAGACGAATACATAGAAAGGGAGAAAATATAACAAAATAAATAAACATGTTTTTTAATCAAAAAATGGAGCAAGAAAATCTCTGAGCATTATACTTTCTATGATTGAAAATCCGCGTTTTTATAATAAAACTATATAAAATATAAGTTTTCTCCAAAATGAACATTTTGTTATCATTTACCCATGTTGATGCAATCCTGTTTCCTTTTTGTCTTCTGTGAAACACAAAAGGGGATTTTAGGCAGTATGACAGCCTCAGTCACCATTCACTTTCATTAATGTTTTATCCGTACAACGAAAGGATATGGTGACTGAGTCACTTTAACTAACAATTCCTTTTGTATTCTACGAAAGAAATAAAAATAATACGGATTTCGAACAACATAAAGGTGAAGACAATTTTCATGTTGGCCTATCTTTAACTCTTTATTCCATTTCACTTATTCGGCAACAACATTTGAAACAAACTTTCCACAAGAGGGCACCATAAGCCCTATTTTGAATGGAAAACGCTTTTACTATGTTTTCTACCTTACAGTGCTGCTATACAAAACTTACAAAATAGCCACATGTATTTTTAAATAGGCTTACACTTGTAATTGCACATTTAACCTACTTAAAGGAATGGATTAGCAGTGTTCTCTGCTTAACTTTGCTTTTATAAATATTTAGAGAGAGCTATATGACATAACTTATGTCATACATGTTGATTCATGTTGTCATGTTTGTTTTTCATTCTCATTTTTGTCTTTAAGGCAACTAAGTATCCGTACATAAACATCCCCTGTATTTGCTCATACATCAGATGAAAGGCTTCGTCATGCCATGTGGCTCCAAGGTCAAGAGTTCAGAACCCGACATTCCACAGGGTCACTTATGAGAAAGTGTTATTCGGGAAAACATTTTCACAACTATGGATAGAGAGAGATATGGCCATGATGGGAGAAGAGATATATGTATTCATGCAGCTGTTATGTACACTCTTAAAAAATGCTGGGTTGTATTAACCCAATTTTGGGTCAAATATGGACTAACCCAGCTGTTGGGTTACATTTTTCAAATTAAATTTTAAACCCAAAACTTGGGTTAGTCCATATTTGACTCAAAATTGGATTAAAACAGCCCAGCATTTTTTAGAGTGTATGTAGAAGATATGGTAAGCCCTTTCATTATTAAATGCAGTATCATCAGAGTATATTGCTAAGCACTATAAGCCAGATGTATTGCAATAAAAAATATATATATTGTTAACACTTTACAATAAGGTCACATTAGTTAATGTTAATGAATGCATTAATTACCATTAACAATGAGCAACATTTGTTGCAGTATTTAATTGATAAAAAATGGTTAATAAATATAATAATAGTAATAATAAAACGGCTGTTGTTTTTTTGCATTAGGGCCATTAAATAATTTTAATAGATACAAAATTTTATTTTAATAATTCATTAGTAAATGTTGAAACTAACATTAACTAAGATAAACAAATGCTTTGGAAATATTTTTCGTTGTTAGTTTACGTTAACTAATGTGGTTAACTAATGTTAACAAATAGGACCTTTTTTTCAAGTGTTACCAAATTCTCTGTTGTTTTACAGATGGGTTTCTTTATAATTTTACAAATGTCCTTCATTTTTTAAGAAAAACAATTGAATTCAAAGGGTTTGACAAAAATCATAAATGCAAGCAAAACAAAGGAAATCAAAGAATTAGAGCAGAGATTCACGTTCAGGACTAGATTTGGTTGCATCTTCCTCCCCGTCGGTGCAGATGCTTTGAGTAGGCCTGGTTCTGAGGCATACATATGCATGAGAAGTGAAAAATGACATGAAGCCTCTGAGTACATCTTCATTGACACTCAAAAGCAGCATATCAATGTTTTCAAGACAGCAAGAAGCTCCAAAACAAAGTTTTCTATCTTGCAAGGGTGCTGTCTCATTAGTGGCAAATCAAGACTCTGACATTTACACTGTAAGCAGTGGTAAAGCATTTCCATTTCCTTTAGAACAGAGTGGAACATTTCAGTCAGACAACATGAGTCTGTTTGTTCGGGAAAACAAGCCAGGAGAGGAGGCAGAGGCAGAATAAAAAAAAATGAAAATGCAAATCAAAAGTAAACAAATATATCCTGCAAAAACAAACAGACACAAATATGCATCCATACAAAGGATGTTCTCTAGGATGTTTGCTTATGTTTTAAACTAAACTAAGCATATCTGACCAAATGCAATTGCAAATGGAAAACATCACAACCAATGCTTGCATATGTATTTTGGACCACCTTGATGGCCACGTCTTTTATAGCAGTTCATTATTGAATGTATTCAAAGTATTGTGCACATATCCCAACGCAACTAGAACACGTGCTCAGTCAAAAAGAATCAAAATTAAAGAAACATAAAACAGCACACTGTTTTATCTGCTCTCATATAACTTGAATATAATACAACCCAAACAATGCCTTTTTGTCAGGCAGTGCAAACAACAACAAGACCTTGCTTGGGTTGAAACATTGCAAATGCAATAAGTTAATTATTGATTGCCAGTGGGTTATTAATTAGTTAATCCCACAATCAAGATCTTGTTAGTAAATGTTTAAGGCCCAAAAGCCAGTTTTTGGTCCAGAAAGAGGTTAGTGTCTAATGAAAGGCCAGTCTAAAATCAGGTCAGCATGCTCTTTGCCTTGAATCAAATCAGTTGGCAATGACAGACTGATACTGCTATCGCTAAAACATTTAACAGATAAGACACACACTACAGAAGATCTGATTTACTACTATAACTATAGAAATGATTAAAATTTCACTTAGGATTTCACCCTTATTTCATGATGAGTCATGACAGATTTCCATGTCTTAAATTGCTTCACATCAGGAAAATGCTGATTTCATTTAAATGTATAAGAAGGAATAAATGCAGATGCGGTGTTTCAGATATAGAATCTAAATTTTGTATTTTTTTGTCCCCTGACTGTAGTTACTTCTGAGGGTTGTGGAACCACATATTGAGATGAATGTAGGTCTCTTGGATGGTACTTGGTGTAGATGACATTGAGACATTTTAGATTAGATTATGACTGAGGTCATACTCTTTATGGTAAGTGTTTATTGTACACTGGGTTGAGGTGAAGCATCCCACACATGGAGCATTTGCCGGGGCTTACAAAATAATAAAGTAAAAATTGTACAGTAATCAACCTAATAATAAAGTTCATTAAAATGTAATTGCTTAACAGAACAGGAATACATTTAAATATAAATAAATAATAATCGGAAGTTCATAAACTTTTCGAATGTATTAAATATGTCTTAAAAATGTTACTTGTTCATGTTATTAATGCATGTGAATATTTAGCTTTGACAATACTGGGCACTTTTTATTTCATTTTATTAATAATTGTATTTTAATCTAATAAATAGTTAATAACATGTATTTCAATTTTTTTTTAGTCAGTACAGTTTGTGTGGAGTAACTCAAACTCTATTTTTAAATGGGCTCCTGGGGATTCTTGAAAATGTTGCTAGAATTAAGAGCCACAAAAGACATTTTCCAAAGCTTAAAAGTTAAGAAGAGTGCGAGTTTGCCTCTTTCTGTTTTAATAATGTATAAAGTAATGTTAACGTGGAAGTATTATCATGTTTATTTATTCTGTCCTATACACTGTGACCCTTCCAAATAATAGAAGGAGACATTTTCAGCATTACGCCTTAGCATAAAATAGGTAAAAGCTTGTTTGTGCAGATGCTAGGTGGGTGCCAAAATAGATATATGTTGTGTCAGATAGAACAAGACAGCATGTAAAACCGCATTGTTCTAACACTAAGCTTTATCATAATTGTATGACCTCATAATAATCCTCTAATGAAGAGGAATGGGCTATATGAAGAGGACTTTATGGAATGTGCTATACGTGAAAATAAATGGAAATAAAGGAAATATTGTGTTTAAAAAGTGTTAAAATGTTGAAGAGAACTTGTCACTAATCAAAGCAAAGAAAAACACAAAACTTTTAAAACATAACTTTAAAACTCAACTATCCTATGATTTTTATATAGCTAGCAATAATTGTATAATAATATTGTTATAATGTTTATAAAATACATTTGATATTATATTAATAAATATTATTGTTATTACCAGTGTTGGGGAACGTTACTTTTAAAAGTAATGCATTACAATACTGCGTTACTCCATAAAAAAAGTAACTAATTACGTTACTTGGTTACTTTTTATGGAAAGTAATGCATTACGTTACTTTTGCGTTACTTTTTAAATCTGGACAGGGCTTGCTTGTTTGTTTTTAAAATAAAAAAGTTATATTTTTGGCAAATATAAAAGCCTTTTCACACCAAAAGTGAAATGAATAAGCCTCAGGCTGAAGGAAATGTACATTTACGTCCGCACAGTAGAATGCAGAAGAAGACATTTCAACACACTTCAGCAATAAAAAAAGACACACAAATGTTTGTCTAGAGTAAATTTAGCTTATTAGTATGGTTGAACTGGCTCATCGAAGGCCAGAAGCAAAGACATTGGTTAATAGAATGGGATTAAATACATAAAGCATATTTGTGTTGTTTAACATTTAATTATTGCAGGTTTGCGTCATATTCTGAGTTGCATATTTTGTTCATTTTGAGGAATACTGAATCTGTGTGTTTTTTTTTTCTTGTGAGTGAGATGAATTAATGCATATTCATATTTATTTTAGAACTGTAACATCTGATTTCTCTCAACATGGGTACAGGGGAGCTGTCAATCAATAAAATGGAAAAAAGAAAGTAACTTGCGTTACTTATTTGAAAAAGTAACTCAGATATTCTCTTATAGATTAAAAAGTAATGCGTTACTTTACTAGTTACTTGAAAAAAGTAATCTGATTACGTAACTCGCGTTACTTGTAATACGTTACCCCAACACTGGTTATTACAACAACAACAACAACAACAACAACAACACCAAAAACAACAACAACAATAATAATACCTTTTAAAGTAAACTCAAGTGTCATGACTGTGGAAGTTGATGTTGACTTCATCCTCTCATTTGTCTTGATAAATGTAAATCGCATTAAAATAAAAAAGTTATATTTTTGGCAAATATAAAAGCCTTTTCACACCAAAAGTGAAATGAATAAGCCTCAGGCTGAAGGAAATGTACATTTACGTCCGCACAGTAGAATGCAGAAGAAGACATTTCAACACACTTCAGCAATAAAAAAAGACACACAAATGTTTGTCTAGAGTAAATTTAGCTTATTAGTATGATTGAACTGGCTCATCGAAGGCCAGAAGCAAAGACATTGGTTAATAGAATGGGATTAAATACATAAAGCATATTTGTGTTGTTTAACATTTAATTATTTTTTGTTCATTTTGAGGAATACTGAATCTGTGTGTTTTTTTTTTCTTGTGAGTGAGATGAATTAATGCATATTCATATTTATTTTAGAACTGTAACATCTGATTTCTCTCAACATGGGTACAGGGGAGCTGTCAATCAATAAAATGGAAAAAAGAAAGTAACTTGCGTTACTTATTTGAAAAAGTAACTCAGATATTCTCTTATAGATTAAAAAGTAATGCGTTACTTTACTAGTTACTTGAAAAAAGTAATCTGATTACGTAACTCGCGTTACTTGTAATACGTTACCCCAACACTGGTTATTACAACAACAACAACAACAACAACAACAACAACAACAACACCAAAAACAACAACAACAATAATAATACTTTTTAAAGTAAACTCAAGTGTCATGATTGTGGAAGTTGATGTTGACTTCATCCTCTCATTTGTCTTGATAAATGTAAATCGCAGCCTCCTCCTACTGCCCCCTCCCACTGAAATACACACAGACACACAGAAAGCGGGAGAGGTATTTAAAACTTTTTTGAGATCTGTCACAGAGTTTGTCATCCCGAAAACCGTGGCGTTTGTCGCACGATTAATTACCACACTGACAGAAGATTTCGCTCTGGTCCTTTATTTGATCAGCCGAAGGAAACGTTACACCGTGAACTCCCTACGAAAGTTTTCTTCAGCATTACTGAAGATTCGCTGGTATGTCACTTTGTTTCTATCTTTGCTTTTTTTTGTGACGTGTAAATTGTCTTAGGATTGTTGCAAGTCCAGTTTATGGTTCTTGTAAGAAATGTAGTTTTATATAGCATGTTTACAGTCGCATGCACGTTTCCCAGCACGTTGAGTCTTGCGACGTGACAAAACTAGAACGCATCCATTATGATCAATGAAGCTGATGTCTACAATGCAAAGTGACATTCTTCAAGTGCATGTAAAGATATAAAGCCCATTTGAGTTCATAAGTGACTGTAAGATGTTCATGTTCGTTTTTTAAAACTGAACTATAGAGTTTTTAAGTATGCATAATGTCTTGTCTGCAGATGTTGTGATTTGGTCATGAGCTGTGAAAGGTGAGGTAGCCTACTTGTGGTGCCTTTTGACAGCTGAACTGCAATGTGAAATATATCTGCAGAAAAAAATATATTCACTGTATTTTTCTCCATTAACATGAAGCCCAACTCTTTTTTTTAGGATGAGTGGACTGCCCTGCACAGGAATTTAGTTTAATCAAATTAATGTACATAGTTCACATAACACTGGAGGTACTTGTGAAATTCTCAAACAGGCCAGTAAGTATTAGATATTACACCTTTGGGAATAGTGTTGTCTAATAGTTCAAGTGACTGCTATGAAACAGAAAATACTCATATGATGTCTTGTGCCATTGAGTGATCATTTGGCTTAGTGCATTCTTTAGATAAGGTTCTTCAGTGATTAACAGCAGAGAAGTTCATGTTAATTATGTTAATTGTCTCCAGTATACGTACAGTTCTAGACCAGTGGTTGTTATCTGGTGGACTGGACCCTAAAATGTGTTGTAAGTCTGTTCTGATAAGGTCACAGGCATCAGGGAAAGCAATGCAAATAATCAAATCAAATCAAATGCAAATAATCAAATGCACATAACATACTTAGTTTGACATTGTACGTCAACTTTTAAAAGAGAAGACAAAACGCTTCCCATATCTTTTGTTGTTGGCAGCTAATGCTGTGCAACAGATGAAATTCTGCAATATTTTGGTACAAATCCATTTGTTATTTGATTGAAGAGGTTAAACTTATGGTGGCCGAGAGGTGCAGAACAAATCACAATTCTGAAAACAAAATAACAAATTACAAACGCAAATGCAAGTCTACAAAACAAAATAACAATTTAGAAAGCACAACAACAATTCAGAAAACATTATAACAAGTCAGAAAACACAATGACAAATTCGAAAACAAAATAACAAGTCAGAAAACACAACGACAAATCCGAATACAAAATAACAAGTCAGAAAACACAACGACAAATCAGAAAAGGTAGGTATAGTTTGAGACAGCGCCATTGGTTTGGGATTACTCACCGCTGACTGGATGAGACATCTGTCAATCAAAAAATACGGAGTGTCTATTTAGATTTAGTTAAAAGTGGCTGTAAAATATCAGCTCCATTGGTGCAGGTGGATAAGTGCTAGTCGTTGGCATTTTGACGCGATTGACCCGGGTTCGATCCCACCTTTTGCCGAACTTTTTTTTCTCACTTTTCAAATCTCGTATCACATCATAAAGGCATTTATTTTCAATAAAAATTAAGGAAATAATCAAAAAGTTGAAAATAAAGTATCGGATAGGGTTAGGGTAGGTGTAGGGAGGGCTTTACTGTACCAATAAGGTGGCACCCATGTAATAATTAAAATGATAATTTACACTCAATACGTTATTATTGCATACTGTTTTATAATGTACTACAATACTGAAGTGCAGATAATTGCCACTATTTGCAACAAGTAGTATACTTGATAGTAGAAATCCTGCTATTTTAACAGTGTAACTAGGTATTTGCACTTAGTGTAAATAGCATATTGCTAAAAAAATACTGCTATTTTCACGTAGTGTAAATAGAATCCATTGCTAATACGAGATTTGAAAAGGGAGGAAAAAAAAGTTTGGCAAAAGGCGGGATCGAACCCGGGTCGACCGCGTCAAAAAGCCAAGGCTAAGTGCTTATCCACCTGCACCACCAGAGCTGATGTTTAATGGCCTCTTTATGTAAATGTCCTTATTACTCTAGTTATCATGCTGTGTTCGGTTGCAAAAGAGACAGTTTTCATCTTCTCAGTTTGTCAAAGTGGCTTAAAATAATATTTTATATAACCTAATCCTTAACCTATTCATGTGTTTACTAGTTACACATTTATAAAAGTAATGTCTTTAGTTGAGACTGTAAGTCTCTTTGGCTGATCTCCTCAGGGGGATTTGTTCTGGGTCCTGGTCAGGCTTTTCATGCCTTTTAAACATTACACTCAAAAGGTTCTTCAAGCGATGCCATAGAACAGGGATCCTCAAATCTGGCCCACGAGATCCACTTTCCTGCAGAGTTTAGCTCTAACCCTAATCAAACACACCTGAGCATGCTAATCAATGTCTTCAGGATCATTAGAAAATCACAGGTAGCTGAGTTTGATCGGGGTTGGAGCTAAACTCTGCAGCACATTGGACCTCCAGGGTAAGATTTGAGGAACCCTGCCATAGAAGAACGATTTTTGGTTCCACAAAGAACCATTCAGTCAAAGGTTCTTTAAAAAACCATCTCTTTCTTACCTTTTTATAATCTGAAGAACCTTTTTTCGCCACAAAGAACCTTTTGTGAAACAGAAAGGTTCTTTATGGAACCATTTAGACAAAAAGGTTCTTCTATGGCATCGTGAAGCACCTTTATTTTTAAGAGTGTAGATGATCCCTGCAAGTGTCTTACGTGAGGAAACTAGGGTTACTGGGTAGTGAATTCCATGGAAAAAGCTAGTCTGAGCTCTTGAAAGTACTTTTACCTAAAGTGACTTCTCATACAGTGATTATTGTTGTGCAGATGAGGTGAGGAGTGAAGGTGGTTTCACGAGGACAACAGACTTGTGAGTGTTATCTGATTCAAGAACCCTGTGACATGTTGATTCAGGTCCTCAGGGTTAGCGATCACTCACTCTCAGCTTATTACTTTCTAAAAAGATAGAGGGAGACAGAGGAAGTTCAGTGCTTTTTGGAGGGAACTCAATTCACTGCATATAGCAGAGAAGATTAACACAAGATTATGTATTTTAATGAATTTCACTACCTTTTTCATCTTCTTTTCAGTCTTTATCACATTGGCGTTCTGCGAGTAGTAGTCACTGATGATTCAACTGGAGGTGTATGAGTAAAACTTGCATGTTGATGCAAGTGTATGTGCGTTACTTCGCATGCTCTGATGTGACTCACAAATAACAGTTCACACACAGAGATGTGCAGATGTTCCACTCAAGTGTGTGTGTGTGTGAGTGTGCAATGTGGTCTTAGTGGCGGCCCTGAGGTGTGATTTAGTGTGTGTTTGTGTGCATGCTGTGTGAATGAATGCGTCCGGTGCTAAAGATGCGAAATTGGCCCAGTGAGTCGAGATTGATCAATCTGTATCACTGTTGGAGGTTGTGGTTTTGTTTGAGTGCAGCTGGCCACTTCATGTCCCCAGTGTGTCACTGTTTGACACGTGGCTACGCTTGCAGCCAACACGGAGAGGATTCATTTGGGCCGACGAGCAGATCTTCCATTATAAACATGTCAAAGAGGCCCCCCGTCACCTTTCACTTATCCAAACTGGAAACCACACTCTGTTTAAACTGAATGACTCAATCCAAATAAGATTCATTAGCAGTCAAAAGGCCCATGTTGGACTTCACTATGGGTTTCAGGAGGCCTCTACTACCAAAGTTGCCCTAGATTATATTCTTACAGGTACCCACATTTTCATAAGTACTCATGCCATGTTTCTTGGCTGGAACAATGTAGGCTGGAGTGATTTGTGTTTTATTTATACATGGCTAGAAATAGTTGTGGTGTGTTATTCTCTAGAGGTCATGCTGTATTTGGTCTGTCCTCTCATGCTGCGATGGTTTTCAGAAGGACTTGGTCAAACATACCGTAAAGACTCCAAGGAATTAAAAATCTCAGTTTTATGACTTTTAGTCCATGTCTGTTAACTTTGATGTTGTCTCTTTTAAAAATAAAAGTTCTTTTTTTGGCAGGGACCTTTAACATCCATAGAACTTTTCCATTGCACAAAAGAGGGGTGTGCGATTATAATATCATAATTGTTGTTTTAATGATATGCGAGCTGGCATTATTGAGTATGTTACTCATTTAGCAAAAAATATAAATGAAACGCATCTTGAAAGTCCAAAAGACTTTATGCTTGAGGAAGCCTATAAGAATGCATTTAAAATGCTCTGTTAATTAGAGTTCTGAAAGTTAAAACATATTCCTGCATGGATTAGTTTTTTATGTTTATATAGTTAAGTAATATCACACAAGCAACAGTGCCGTTTTCCTAAATATTAGTGCATCAGTGCAACACTGCAGTGTTTCATTCATGAATGAATCTGTTTTTGAACAAATCATTTGAATCCATGATTCAATAACCCGCTTGTAAAGACAGCAACTTGATTTGTTTCTAAATTAATAATTAATCTTTTGAATTAATCATTTGTTTGAATGATTCAGAGAATTCCTCATTAAAGGGATAGTTCACCCAAAAATGAAAATTCTTTCATTAATTACTCACCCTCATGTCGTTCCAAACCTGTAAGACCTTTGTTCATCTTCGGAACACAAATTAAGATATTTTTGATGCATTCTGAGAGCTCTCTGACCCTCCCATAGACAGCAAGGACATTTACACGATCAAGGCTATAAAATAATCCATGTGACATCAATGGTTCAACCATAATTTTACGAAGCTACAAGAATACTTTTTGTGTATGCAAAGAAAACAAAAATAACAACTTTATTCAACAATTTGTCTCCTCCGCGTCACCCTATAGTGCCATTTTGGAGAGTATCACATACGTCAGTGGTTCTCAAAGTGTGGGGCACGCCCGCCGGGGGTAGGGGGTTTGGGGGTGTTGTGGGTGTAGGCCATCAGCAGAAAAATTAAAAAAATATCAAACCGTAAACAGCCAAAGGAAGTAACT